ACCTGTGTTCACAGTGCTTACCACAGTGCCTGGCACAGAGTAGATCTTGATAAATATTTAGCTATTTGGAATGATCTATCTGTGGGGTTTCTATGGGTGGATGTCAGAGATTTCTGATCACAATTTTCATTAAGGTTTCTGGATATGATTCTAAGGGCCTCCTGGGCTCTGAATACTCAGTGGTTTTAGGATTGAAACCAACTCCTTCTTTGACCAATAGCTCAGACCTATTATAGGAAATCTTTTTAACATGTATAGTTAAAAAAAAAAAGGGCGGGGGGCTTCCCTGGTAGCTCAGCTGGTAAAGAATCCGCCTGCAATGCGGGAGACTAGGGTTTGATCCCTGGTTTGGGAAGATCCACTGGAGAAGCGAAAGGCTACTCACTCCAGTATTGTGGCCTGGAGAATTCCATGGACTTCGTAGCTCATGGAGTCTCAAAGAGTCGGACATGGCTGAGCAACTTTCACTTTCACTTTTCTTTCATAGTAAAATCTGAGTCCTATATCAAGATGATTTGATCAGATGTCAATTTATAGTAGATCCTTAAAATCTGAAGGCTATCCACATTCTGTGTGTAAATTCTGAATGTGCTTCTAATACAGTTTGTGATTTTCTTGGTTCACTTGAAGGTACTTTTTGGGCAAGTGGTGGTGTCTTTATTTTCCAGGTAGGAAAATGAAACTTATCCAAGACCACACTGCAAGCTCTCTCCATTAAAATCCAGCGTGGGAATCAAAGAACATGACTTTTCTCTTCTGGCCTACTTATGTGCCCTTGGTTGGGTAGTTTGGTCTCTTTGGACCTCAGTTTTCCCGACTGTAAGATAGAAAAAAGGTGGACTTACTGTTTCTGAGAGGCTGCATTGCTTGGATACTTGAGAACCTCCTTGTAACTGTGTGTTTAACTTGCCGAAGTCCCTGTGTTGGCAAGCTCCAAAGTCCTCCTAATTTAGAGAAGAAGTAATGCTTCCCTGGTGATTCAGCCAGCAAAAAATCCACCTATAATGCAGGAGACCCGGGTTCAATCCCTGAGTCTGGAAGATCCCCTGTAGAAGTGAATGGCAACCCTGTCCAGTATTCTTGCCTGGAGAATTGCATGGACAGAAGAGCCTGGCAGGCTACAGTCCTTGGGGCTGCAAAGAGTCGGACACGACTGAGTGACTGGCACTTACCATCTAAGAACTGAGACCACCTAAAACAGGCCATCTCTGGAGATCATTCCAGAGGGGCATGCGTCATTAAGGCAAAGGCAGTGAGGTGGCAGAAGCTGTTAAGCATGAAACGCCCAGAATTTTGGAACCTTGATTCTGTACCCTGTCAGTTCAGCAGTTCACTGTTCATTCTGAGAATGAGATTCAGGGGAGTTGATCTCTGTGCAGTCATAGCTGTAAGATTCAGCCCCATACCCCGTTCCCAAGAACGTGAAAAGACTTCCACAAACATAAAGATGAGACAGTGTCCTTTCCAGAATCTTAGACTCTTGAAATGTCTTTGTAAAGGTCACCTCATCCTTGCTACTCAAAATGTTTTTCGGGAATCAGCAGCATCACCTAGGAGCTTGTTAGAAATGCAGAGTCTCAGGCCCAGCCCAGACCTCGTGTATAAGAATTCATGTTTAACAAGATACTCCTGTGATTATATTGCACAGGAAAATTTGAGAAGCACTAGCCCTAACTCCAATCCTTTGGCCACCTGATGAGAATAACTGACTCATTGGAAAAGACCCTGATACTGGGAAAGATTGAAGGCAGGAGGAGAAGGGGATGACAGAGGATGAGATGGTTAGATGGTATCATCAAACTCTGTGAACATGAGTTTGAGTAAACTCCAGGAGTTGGTGATGGACAGGGAAGCCTGGCGTGCTGCAGTCCTTGGGGTCATCGGACATGACTGAGCAACTGAAGTGAACTGATCCCTAGCTATCCCCTCCTTCACATCCTGATGAACAAGCGGGCATCCTGTTCCTGGCCTCCCCTAACATCTTCTTCCAAGTGGGCCTGTTTCATCTTAAGACCACCTTTTGGAATTCCTTCTCCGTCTTCAGTTAAACCCTCAGGCATTCAGTAACTTCTGCCCTTGGCTCTCACACTAGCCTCAGGGCCTCACAGAACAAGATAAACCCTCCTGTGTTTCCCAAGGCTTCTCATCTCCGAGTCCTCATAGAACACACTTTCTAACCTTCCTCATGCATATCTGTATATGGAAGCCCATTGCAAACTCCGTGGGGCCTAGAAAATAACACAAATGAGAGACGAGAGCCAGGTCACATCACAGAGTCTTTGTGACCCCATGAATTGTAGCCCAACCACCAGGCTCTAGTGTCCATGGAATTTTCTCGGCAAGAATACTAAAGTGGGTTGCCATTTCCTCCAGGGGATCTTCGCGACCCAGAAATGAAACTCACATCTCCTACTTTGGCAGGCGAATTCTTTACCACTGAGCCCCCTGGGAAGCCCTATTTCCACCCCCTACACACACTGGCAGTTTAAAAAAAATCCTCAAAAACCACCAGATTGTGTTTGCCAGTGACCACGTCTAAGGTTTTTTGTGACCTTCAATAATAATATCTGCTCAACTAGGATACAATAGCCCAGGTATGGTTTGACCAGCGCAGGCCAGGCAGGCTTATGACGTCCTGAATTCTAGACCAGTAGTTCTCAAATGGGAGTGTGCATCAGAATCTCTTGGAGAACTTGTTAAAAACCTAAGTCTCTAGGCCCCACACCTGGTTTCTGCTGCTGCTTCCTGGATGGGGCTCATTTCTGACGAGTTCCCAGCTGCTGTGAGAGCTGCTGGTTCACACTGTAAGAACCACTTAAGATTGGTTCCTCCTATTAAGATAGCCTGGGTTTGTAGAACCTCTTTCGTTCCACCAGTGACCTAACATAGTCAATGAAGTTCTCAGTCTTTGGGTAGCAGAAGAGGGAAAAGGAATTGGAGGGAGGGCTGGAGGAAAGATTGCTAACCAACCCTGATTGACCAAAGATTGACCAACCAATCCTGACGTCTAGAGGTAGAGTGCTTAACTTGGGCATATCCCTGTCCCATTCCAAGACTTAGTTTTCCTGTTTGTAAAATAGGGCAGTGGCCCCAGATCCGTTTTTGAGTTTATGTGTTTGCTTGTGTGGAGATTTGATGGTCAGTTTGTTTTTAGCAGAGGACCTTTAGAAATGAAATCTCACATAGAACCCCGGTATAGAAAACAGACAGATGCATTGCTGGTCTGACTGAAGTGCAGGGGTCAAGCTCTTACTGTCAGTCTCCACCTTCTCAAGGCAGCACTGAGATGTCTTCTGCAGAAATACGGCTCAATACAGTTGAAGCCCCCTGAAGAAAGTTCCCACTCAGCTCCTGTGATTTCTAAGACCCTGAGAACTGTTTGCAGGCACGTGACCTTTGTTTTTGCAGTTTTCTTTCCCTCTCTGACCACGACATGTGGCATGTCCACTTTCAGAATTTTCTTCCTGCAAGTCAGAGAGGTCTGCAGGAGAGACACTGCTGAGGATTATTATCATTAGAGCTGTTGTAGGGATACTGAACCCTTGTGGAAAATGTGTTAATGCGGGGATCAGCCAGGGACTTAATAAACAGGTATGAGGATGATTTTATTCCAGTGGCTTCTTGTTAGTGCTAATGTTCTAGCACACCACGCGTTCAGGGCCTTCGTAGGTAATTATACAGGAAATAGTACTAGTGGATCCTGCACGCCACAGTGGCATGAGCAGGTTTGCGGGCTTTTTAAAGGGCAAGGTCATGGGGAAAGCTGTTCTCATCTAGGTGAACACAGAAGATACAAATAGCGGTGTGGAGCAGTGTCACCTTGGAAAGACTCTTACTGAGCCCTCGGCCTGACTCTTGGCATGGGAAAGCATCTGGCACCTTTTGATGACCCCAGACGCTGGAATGGAGCCTCTGGGAAACTGCTTCCTTAACAGGCCCACCAGGGCAGACTGCCCTCCTGGAACTGACATAATAAATGTCTTCAGCTCCAGCCTCTGGGGAATGCTCTCCTGTGTATTCCTGTTTTTCAGTCGTCCGAGCGCTTGTTCAGACCTTCCACACATGTCTGCCAGCTGCTCCCCCTCTCGGACCGGGCCTTCTTTGGGACTGCAGAGATGACCGTGACCCAACTCCTCCTGTGCTCCGAGCTCCTTGAGCCCAGCCCACTCTGCAATGCTCCACCCGCCCAGGGTGTGCGCTCCGCCTGCCTCGCATTTCAGCTTATCTGAAGTCCAGCCCAAAGGCCCCCGTGAACCCTTCCCCAGTTCTCCCAGGCGGAAGTGAAGTCCTCTGGCTCTTTCTCGGAACTTTTCACCCCAGGTTCATTTCCTCTGCCTCATCCGGTGCAGAGCCACTAGGCAGCGGTGGCTCTTAAGCACTTGGAAGGAGGCTGAACTGAGATGCCCACAAGTGTGACATACACACTGGATTTTGAAGACTCAGTACACACACAAAAAGAAACATAGACTTAACCTCAACATTTGCTTCCACTGCCTGTTGAATTGATCTTACTTTAGATGAGTGGTCCCCAACCTTTTTGGCACCAGGGAACAATTTCATGGAAGACAGTTCTGCCACAGTTTTGGGAACCCCTGCTTTCGATGGAGTATATGGAGCTAAATGAAATACATTATCAAAACTCACTTCACCTGGTTTAAAAAAATAAAGTTACACATGTGGCTCATCTTGGTAGCTTACATTATATTTCTCTCAGTGTCATACTTAACTGCTTTCTCTCTTCTGTAAAAGGAGTGTCTGTCCATCTGCTTTCTCTCCCACAGGTTTATAAGTTCCCGGAGGGTGGGCACTGTGTGTCGTCTTTCTGAACTTTGCACGCCTGGCTGGCACAGGTGGGCAGCAGTAGCCAAGTTCTGAGGGAATTAATGAATGAACCACTGATGGCAGACGTTCATCCCTTAGGCCGTGTACTCGCTGGGTCTCTTTGTTATTAAACTTATTTTCCCTTTTCTTCTTTTTCATAGTTTTTGTCTTTTTTAAAGGGCTCACACAATCAACCAAAGAAGAGCTTTTTCTTTGGAGACAGGCAGAAACTGAAGGACTGGCACGACAAAGAAGCCATCAAGAGGGATGCTCAGCGTGTAGGTACGAAGGGCTGGGCATCCACGGGTGGGTCCCCTGGAGAGTGCTTGCACATGTGCGTATGTGTGTGTGTTTTATGGGGGCGTCTAGACCTCCTGTTGACTCCCTGTCCATTTGCCATTATCCCTTCCCCTGGTTTCCAGAGCCAGCCCTCTCCCCTCCTTCACCTGTTAGCTGACCCCTTTCTCCATTCACATCATCAGATCCACTGCTTTCAAGCCTTTGCCCTGAAACCTCTATGGTGATAGAAAATGTCTCCCTCCTGGAAGATACGTTACCACTAAAATGAGGAGCAGTAATAATAAGAACCCACATTTACTGAACACCAACAGCGAAAAGGCCCACGATCCACACTTTGCACGTTTTCTTGATGAAACCCCTAACCAACCTTTGTAGCTCATTTGATGAGAAGGAACCTGAAGCTGAGAGAGGTGGGGTGATTTACCTGCAGACACACAGTGAGAAAGAGGCAGGCTTGAGACTTGAACCCAGGTCTGGAGGGCTGAGTTTTTCCCTCCCCAGCATCACAGCCACAAGGCTGAGTGAAACTCGTGGGCTTCTGCTGAAGCTTTCTTCACCTGATGAGCCTTTCAAACAGCTCCTGCTCCACTGCAGAGTTGGAATGAGTGAGGTTTACAGAAATCATGTGGAGAGTTGTCGCCAAAGGGCCTGCCTAGGAGCCAGGAGAGCAGCTCTGACGCCATGTACCAGCCATCTGACCCTCAGATAAATTCCAGACTCCTGGAGCCTCGGTTTCCCCTGTGTCCTCAGGGCTCATGCTTCCTACGTTGATAACCAAAGGGTATGGTTGTGAAGGTGACAGATAAAGTATAGCTTTACAATACTGAAAAGAAATATAAGGGGTTTGTGTTTTATTCATTTTTATATCAGAGGTACCCAGCACTATTGATTTTCTTTCTTAAAATGTTACACTGTGACAAAACCAGATTACAAGAAGCTCTGAATAGAGCTGACATAGTAACTGATGGTCAGGGAAATCAAAAGACACATCTGCCAGTGATTTAGAATGAAGGGTTGGAATGCTACTTAGATTAGGAAAGGAAACATTTGATTTCCCAGGCACTTATACCAGAATTATTAGAACATTGGGCTCACTAGCCAGAAGAGAGTAAGCAGTGGTGACATTATTAAGAATAATAGTAACCAGCCCAAGTTGAACACTCACTGTGTGCCGGGCGTCTTGCCCTGCATTCCCCCCTTAATCATCACACTGAACCTTTTCATCCCAATGAACTCTAAGGGAAAAACCCAAGACACAGAAAAGCTGAAGGCACTTCCAAGATGACATCCAGGAGCAGCAGGGCTGGGCTTCAAACTCCCCTCTGTGCAGCTCCAGGGCCTGAACTCGGAATCACTCCCCTGCACTGCCCCCTCCACCAGAGCTTCCTCCCTGCCCAAACAGATGCTTCTGCCCTTCCTTGTCTGCCTGCGGCATTTGTGTCCCTTGTGGGATCATGCTGGGCACTGGCCAGCAATGTCTTATCCCAGAACCATGCAAGTTACAGGCAGCAGAGTCCTCTCCATCCTCCGGCTGGATCAGAGCAGTCACTGCCCCGGACTCCACCTCTCTACTTGCACCTTCTCATCACGCTGATGTTGACAGCATTTACTTTGCAAAGTAAACGGGGTGTTGCTCAGGCCATGGGCTCCAAAAGATGAGATGATTTTCAGTTAGCTGATTCTATTACCATTTCTTCCATTCTGTCGCCAATGGCAGGTGCTTGGTCTATTATTGCAGGGGTTGGGGGACATCAGCACATACCATCTGCCCCCCGGAAACCCAGAGGGTAATTTCCTGGAGCATCAGGGACTCTTTCCCCAGATGGCTGGTACAGAGAAAGGAAAGCTGGCACTGGATCCACCCAGATCCCTGACTAAGAGCCACACTTTTCAGGCAGTTCAGGCCTAGGCAGGGCAGATCGTCATTAGTTTGCTGGCTTTAAAAAAATCAAAGCATCTTTGATCATTTGTGGCAATTTTGATTTACATGTAAAGTTTGAGTTGCCTAGAGAGGAATCACAGTATTTCCTCACATGGTTAATAGGGTTTATCTTTACAGAAGGCTCTCAGGTATGCAGCCTCTCGTTTGACTGTCTCAGGATGGTTGTGGGTACCAGACAGGAACAAGCTACAGTTCACAGAGCTAGTGTGACTGGCCCAAGGTGGTTCAGCTCCTAAGAGGTGACCTGGCCTCCCATCCAGGTGGCAGACTTCAGGGTCAGGGATGTTAGGGGCTCCTGGCAGAGGGCGGGGGAAGCATGGGCATTGGAGCCCAGAGACCTACTTTTATAACCTTTCTGAGTCCTGGTTTTTCTTTTTTATTGCATAATTTTATTTGCTTATTATTTTTGGTTGCACTGGGTCTTTGTTGCCACACTGGACCCTCTCCAGCTGTGGCGAGTGGGGGCTACCGTCCAGTTGCCGTGTGTGGGCGTCTCGTTGCAGTGGCTTCTCCTGCTGTGGAGCCCTGGCTCTAGAGCACGCTGGCTTTAGCAGTTGTGGCACGCAGGTCCAGTCACCCCATGGCATGTGGAATCCTCCGGGACCAGGAATCAAACCTGTGACCCCTGCGTTGGCGGGCGGACTCCTCACCACTGGCCCACCAGGGAAGTCCCAAGTCCCGGCTTTTCTCTCTGTAGAAAGAGGGCTCACGTGTCCACCCTGACAGCCTGTTGTGGAGGTTACAGGAGGACAGAGCTGCAGTGCCTGAGTCTCACTCCCTTCCCCTCTTTAGCCCTGCAGAATCTGGAGAAACACCCTGTATCAAGTGTAAGGACTTTTCTTAGTGATTTAAGCACGTTTTTCCTCTTCCCTTTCCCACTGCATTTAATTGGCAACCCTGATTTTGCTCTTTGCTCCTAGGAGACGGAGAACAAGGGAGGCCCTTCCCATTGACCTATGCTGAGCGAGTGGACCAGGCATACCGAGAAAATGGATTTAACATTTACGTCAGCGATAAAATCTCCCTGAATCGCTCTCTCCCTGACATTCGGCACCCAAAGTGAGTATAACGTCTCTCATCTTCTGGGATCTGAGGATTTTTGCCCTTGACTCTCATTGAGGATTAAAGGAACAGGTCCATAAAGCACTGCTGGAGGAGATTCCCTCTGTTATCCAGGGCCTTTGTGAACAGGTTCCTGTGAGTAGATTCTCCTAGAATTTAGAGTTGGTGTGGCCAAGGGACGGTATTGTTTCCCCTAAAGAGTTGGTCTCCTTCCTCTATTCATGCAGTGAAAACCAGGATCTCTGTATTTTCTCTCTGGACTCTGGCCCACAGGGAAGTCCAGACCTCAAGTTGCAAGACAAGTGCAACAACAGTTTCAGCCCTCCCTCGCTCCACCTTCTGTGTGTGACATTTTTATTTCTTTTTTTTTTAAACTCTTTATTTTAGCTATCCTATGCACCTTTATGTCTGTGTATCAGTTATAAGCTATCCCAAAGCATTTTGAGAGTGCACATGTCATCATGACTATAAGGATAACAGTGACCGCTACCTTTCTTTGAACACATAGTGTGTGTCCAAGCACTTTGTGTCGTGTCTGTTCCCTGCAGTGTAGGCCCTCTGATGATGCCCATGTTTACAGATGAGGAAACTGAAGCTTAAAGGGGTACTGCAACTCATGTAGGGCCACACAGTGACTAAGAAGCTGAGTCCGTTCTTGAACTCCAGTTCAACCAAAAACTCTACTCTGGATTTTAAGCCATCCTGCCTTTCACTTTTGAAAGGAGTATTGTGGTGGTCATGGTGACTTTCTAATAGAGCAGTATGTCTTAAAGTTGCTGTGCTTCGGAATCACATGGAGGGCTATTAGTTGGAACACAAGATGTTGAGCCTCAACCCCTTACTTGCTGATCCAATAGATCTGGATGGGGGCCCAAGAACTTCATTACTAGTAAGCTCCCATGTGGTGTTCATGGAGTCCACACCTTGGGAACCACTGCTAGCAGATTTCAAAATTACTTCCAAGACAAAAAGAGACTCACAGACTTAGAGGATGAACTTATGGTTGCCAGGAGGGAAGGACAGGGAAAAGGGATAGTTAAGGAGTTTGGGATAGACTTGTACACGCTGCTGTATTTAAAATAACCAATAAGTTATCCTACTTATTAACCTACCTACTTATTAACCAACCTACTCTATAGCACAGGGAACTCTGCTGAATGTTATGTGGCACCCTGGGTGGAAGAGGAGTTTGGGGGAGAAGCGATACATGTATATGTATGGCTGAGTCATTTCGCCGTTCACCTGAAACTATCACAACATGTTAATTGGCTGTATCCAATTACAAAATTAAAAAAAACTTTTTTAAGTTTATTTTTTTCGTGAAGGCAGTTCTGAGTAACAGTGGAGCAGAAACTGCTTTGCTCAGGGACTACAAAATTAGAGGCCAGGGAAAGATAGTAACAGCTAACACTTATTAGATACTTACTGTATGCCAGGCATTGTTCTCAGCCAGTGGTTCTCAAAGTGTGGTTGCCAGGCCAGCAGAGCTTGTTAGACATGCAAATTTCTGGATCCTAGCCCAGGTTTACTGAATCAAAAGCTCTGCATAGGGGCTCAGCCATCAGTGTTTTAACAAGCCCTCCAGGTGATTCTGATGCAAAGCTCAAGTTTTATATATACATTCTTTTTTTAATATCCTTTTCCATTGTGGCTTATCACAGGGTATTGAATATAGTCCCCCGTGCTGTACATTAGGACCTGTTGTTATCCATTCTAAATGTAATAGTCTCCATCTACCAACTCTAGAACCAATGGTACTTTAAGTACGTTAACTCAGCCAAACCTTCCCAAAACCCTGGGAGATGGAATGAGGTCCAAAGAGTTAAATAATTAGTATTAGATGACATAGCTGGTAAGAGGTAGTGCCAGAATTTGCATGCAGCGAGTCTGACCTAGAATCTGAGTCATTAGGTCTTTCCACCGCTACGAGCTCAATTGGTAGAGTATAATAATAAAGAATCTTGGTAGCATGTTTGGCTACCTAAAAATGCTTTTTGGCCCCTTACTTCTTTCAGTCCCTGCAGCATTACTTTAAGGTTGGCATTATTATTATCATCTCCACCGTATAGATGAGGAAAGCACACAACTATGAATTTTCACGAAAAGGTGTGCTGCTTGCCCAGACCTGTGGATTTCTTACAGTGAGGGGAGGGAGCGAGGGGCCTTGCAGGGATTGCCCGAGGGGTTGCAATTTGTTTCATGGTCTTCACTATCAAGCCTGGGATTTTTTTCATCTAAGTCTGAAAATGTAGTTCAGATATTTCGGATGTTGCTGGATTTAGAACTGTGACCTGACTCCAAAGGTCAGAAACTCAATTTATATGTTTAGCCCCTTGCAGAGTTCAGTTTCTGCACTAATTTCATCCTTCTAAAAGTCTAGGGAAGTTCATATGGGAGCATTATACTCTCACCTCAGCCACTGCTCTGTGGTTCTGTAGACTCTCAACTTTGGCTGTACCTGGGGTGGTTTTAAAAATTACAAAAGCCGGTGCCCCACCCCAACCACTGGATTCTGAATTTCTGGAAGTATAGCCTGGGTCTCAGGATTTTCTAAAATCTCAGGATGTGATTCTCACATGTAGACAGGGTTGAGAACTGCTGGTGTGAAACAAGGAATATTTTTTTATAATGAGAGAGAAGTTTTCATCCACTCATTCATCTGTTCATCTAGTAAATGGATATTCATGTTCCTCTGTGTACCAAGCCCTGTTCTTAATACCAGGAACACATTGATAAATAAGCCCTATTGCTTCCTTAGAGCAAGAGGTAGAGGCAGATGGCAGAAGCAGGTCATTACACCACAGATGAGAACCAGTGATGAGATGGGCATAGGGTTCTTTGGAACCCCAGAGAACATCCCCACCCTGCACCAACCTTTGCGAGACCTCATTGCAAGTAGAGAGCTAGGCAAGACAGTGCACATTCTTTGACTTATGGGGTGTCTCTCAGCTGTTAGAGGGGAAGTCAGTGGGGATGTGCCCCTTTATCTCCCAGTGCAGTGCTGTCTCCCAACAGCCAAGAAAAAGAAAGGTTTTCCTTTTCAAGGAGTCCCAGGACCCACAGAGAGGTTTGTGAATAGAATTCAGGAGGGTCTGTAAACTTGAGTGAAAACAACTTTGCATTTTTCTTTTCATGAACCTCTCACTGAAATCTAGTGCTCACTTCAGTTATGAATGTAGGCAATGAAGCACCTATGATGTTGTCGCCAAAAGAAATCATCTACTTTCCCATCACTTTACAGATATCTTGAAATGTCACAGATACTCATCACTGCTTTGGGATGAAGGTAGATTTTAGAACTTCCGCTTGATCTTGTCATCTAATGTATTAGTGAAGAAGCACATTTATGACTCTATTTCACATTTCTTTATTATTTTGATAACTGTATTTCAGCCTAACTGGTTTTCTTTACAAGCTCATATATTTTATTTTATTCATTGTAAACATTATTCTGAGAAGTGACCATGAGCTTCACCAGCCTGGCAGAGGGGTTCAGGGTCTGGGTTTAAGGGAAGGAAGCCCAGTTCTGGGTGGGTGTGATTTCCACCTAAGGCTCCTCTATTACCAGTCCACCCACCCAGCCAGTATCCAAGTTATGGTGAAAGATGTTGCTTAATCCAGTGCTCCTGACGCTCCCCACCCCCCTCCTTTTTTAGAGTCTTGTCGTGGAAGCTGATTTTTCATAAATGAGTTGACAGGTTTCTTGAAGAACTTTTTTCTTTCTCCAGGGGAAGTGCAGTGGGCGGGGGATCTCTCCTGCAGTTTGACAGCGGAAATGTGCAAGGAAATTAGAGCAGTCGAGCTGCTTGGTCTCACTGGTTTCTTTTAGCTTAAACAACCTCTCTGGCAGGAGCTGAGGTTTATATTTGCCTTCAGCTCCTTCAGACTGAATTTTGGCAACAGCATGTCAGGAGCAGAATTGAGGGGCTGTTTGTTTGTGCCAGCAGCATTCACTTCCTCCAGAAGCTGCATGGGGGACCGTACAGCCATGGAGAATGGAGACGGGGCGGTACAGCCCCACTGGCTGGGTTTGCATAGGGGAGGTGGCCAGCTGGCTCTGAGCGGGCCTGCCCTCTGCACCTCCTGCCAAGGGAGTGGGAACAGAGGATGGCTGGTGGGCTGGCCCACTTTCCTTCTCCCCTGGGGGGGCCCTGGTGGCCTGTTTGGCAGCTGCACATGGAGCCCCTCCAGGGCACAGAGCTGATGGCAATGGAGTCCCAACTGCTGGAAGTGTCCTGGGTCCAAAGATCCCTGGGCAAACCCTTCTGATGGGTGATCAGAACCCTTCTTCTGTGCATGGTGGGGATGAACGCAGCCTACAGTCCTGACCTGCCTTTTCCACTCCATGAGTATAGCTTTCAGTAATGATGAACTGAATGGCATCTTTGTTGTAATAAAAGGCCCAAGTCTACCAGGTTCCCGGTTCCATGCTCCTTTTTGCTTTTTGTTCAGTTAACATGGTTAGTTTACGGTAAGTGTTCGGTTTCTTCAAAAGAATTTATAAGCTCATATTATTATAATAGGCCTGGATTCTATTGAGTGCCTTGACGTCCCCAACAAGCTACAAAGGCAGCAAGGGAGGGAGTTGTAGCCTATTACCTTTGACATGTGTTTATTAAATATACTCTCTGAAAAAAATGATAACTTGCTGGCACAGGAAATTTAAGTCAATCACAGTTACCGCTATGGAAGTAGTAGAAGTAGCAGTAGTGATAATGCCCCAATATAAATGTACATGTAGACATAAAATTTGTATTTAGGGGCCAAGATATAACAGGAACCAAGTTTACCTGCCTGACTGAAACAACCAAAAGAAAACAAAAAGTAAAATATGTGAAATAATGGTTTTTAAAACTGTGGACTTCAGAGAATGAAGGACAGTAATCTCTAAGAGATGGGAAATAAATGAGAGAATCCTGCAAGGACCTCACAACTTGTTCCCTAGAGTTTCCAGGGCATGGTGCTGGGAGGTCCCCAAGCAGAGCCCTGAGGACTTC